CCCCTTCTTGTACTCTCTCTCTCAAATAAATAAATAAAATCTTAAAAAAAAAAAAAAGATACAAATTGTTTTCTAGTTTATCATTTACCCTTTACCTTTTTTTTAATTTTAAATTATTTTATTTTATTTTTTTAAAGATTTTATTTATTTATTTGAGACAGAGAATGAGAGAGAGAGAGCACATGAGAGGGGGGAGGGTCAGAGGGAGAAGCAGACTCCCTGCCGAGCACAGAGCCCGATGCGGGACTCGATCCAGGGAGTCCAGGCTCATGACCTGAGCCGAAGGCAGTCGCTTAACCAACTGATCCACCCAGGCGCCCTATTTTTTATTTTTTTAAAGATTTTATTTATTTATTTGACAGAGAGACACACAGCAAGAGAGGGAACACAAGCAGGGGGAGTGGGAGAGGGAGAAGCAGGCCTCCCGCGGAGCAGGGAGCCTGATGCAGGGCTCGATCCCAGGACCCTGGGATCACAACCTGAGCCGAAGGCAGACGCTTAACGACTGAGCCACCCAGGCACCCCATACCCTCTACACCTTTATAGTGATATTATTATAGCTATTGCTTTCACATACAGAAGTTTTACATTTTATATCATCAAATATTCTGTGCCTTGACATATTTTTTTTTTTACTTTTCTGTTAGAATGATCTTTCATAACCAAGGATCTGATAAATATTCACCTGTATTATCTTCTTTCCTGTTGAATTATTTTTTATCAGTCAGAAGATGCATTCTGCTGCACATATAACAAAAACTCCACTTAAAATCGCTTAACATTAAATAGGGCTTCCTTTTTCTCAGGGAATAAGTTCAGGGTTGGTTTGGTGGACTTATTATATCTTCAAGAATCCAAGCTCATTCCACATTTCTGTGCTATAATCCTTAATATGTAGCTTTTCCTCCAGTTCACAAATGACCACTGCAATTCTAGGCATCACATCTGGAGTACATTTAGGATGAAAGAAGAGAGGCAAAATGTAAAAACTGCATGCCACCTGAATCCACCTATTTCATCAGGAAATTAATAACTTTCCTGGAGACCCCCTCTGTTAGATTTCTCATTAGCTGGAACTAGATCACTTGGCCACACAAAAGAGCGAGGGAATCTTGAGGAAATAAATATTTTTATCTGAACACGCTGATGTCCTGAGAAAAAAATCATATTCTATTATTAAAAAGTGGGAAATGGATATTGGGTAGACAATAACATCTGCCATACTTTCCATCTAGAATTTTTTGGATATATGATATAGAACAAGGAGCTAATAATTTTTTCCAATGAGTTAACCAACTTTCCCAGCATCTTTATTGAATAAGTCATTTTTTTTCATTGATTTGGCAAGCAACTTCATTTAAGAACTTACAGAGTTTCCAATTCCATTAATGGCAGAGTGGCACCTAACAGATCAGCCTGCCCCAGATCAAACTTTGGACAAAATATAGAAAGAAACCATTGAAAGCACTGGAGAGAAAAAGCAAAAGCTGACAAAAACTGGAGAGTTGTTGACACTTGAAAAGGGGAAAAGGGGAACTGACACTAGGTGAGTTTCCCAGTTTTATAGCTTATGCCTAGGGGCAGTCCACAATCAACACCATATCTGGGATAGACATCTGCCGTCTTACTAACTTAAAGAACCAGAAAGAAGAGTTTAGGTTTCTGTAGCAGCCAGAAAGTGGAGGGGGAACATCCTGGAAAGGCAAGAGCCACAATGGAAGAGTACCAAATTTTATATATAAACTCTTCCAGAATCTGTTTTTCCCTCGAATTACTCATGGGTAATGTAGATACCAAGAAGTCAATTAGGATTAAATAATTCAACAGTGATTTTAGCTGGAACCTACTGCGAAGACACAGTGTTTTAGCCAAGTTAAATGCTCACCTGAAAAACAAAAACAAAAACAAAAACAAAAATCAATACTCTTTGGAGGAATATGACAGAATCCAGAGACTCTACAATGTATCATTCACAATATCAAGAATACATTGCAAAATTATTCCACATACAAGAATAGGAAATATGACTGATACTCAGGAGGAAAGGCAATCAATGGAGATCAATCTTTAAATGACCCATATTTTAGAATTAGCTGACAAGAATTTTAAAGTAGCGGGCACCTGGGTGGCTCAGTTGGTTAAGTGACTGCCTTCGGCTCAGGTCATGATCCCAGAGTCCTGGGATCAAGTCCCACATCATGCTCCCAGCTCAGCAGGGAGCCTGCTTCTCTCTCTGACTCTCTCCCCTCTCATGTTGTTTCTTTCTCTCTCTCTCACTCTCAAATAAATAAATAAATAAAATCTTAAAAAAAAAAAAAAAAGAATTTTAAAGTAGCTATTATAACTCTTTGCTCAGCAAAGAGTCTAAGGTCTCAGGCCCATTCTAATCCCTCGTCTTGGAAAGGTTATAATGAATAGGTCACCCTATTAGGCATATGTCCACATGTCCTCCCCCAAACTGGCTGAGAATTAACCAGAATGATAAAAGTAAGAAAAGCAGTTTTAAGCAGAAAAGCAAAGACAAGGATTTTCATTTCCCTTGTATAGAAAGACAATCAATAATAGGTTGCTGTGTTGGCAGAGAGCTCTTGCCAAACCCTCAGCTCTCCGCTGTCTTGGGTCAGAGGTAACAGAGTTAGCAGCTGTGGGATTACATGGCTCTTTTGTAGTCCCACTTATTTACCACCCTTACTAAAATCTAACTAATCTTTCCTCAGTGAAGCCTTTCCTGCAGCCCACCGCACCTCCCACCCCAGTCTCTTCAAGGAAAATTTCTTTGATACCTTAATAGTCTTTTTTTCTTTCAGAAATTCAACATAGCATGATAATCTCTGTAAGAGTAAAGAGAAACTATGCCTCAAAGGGTAAAAGGGGTTACAAATCCTACTACAGATAAAGCAAAGATCATCTCTGTAGAAGCTAAAATGGGTCACCTTCTTAACCCATTTCTTTATTATTTAGGGAAAATGGCTAGTCCACTTGTTGCACCCTATTCTGCAAGCAAGTTTGCTCTGGATGGGTTTTTCTCCTCTATCAGGATGGAACATTCAGTGACCAAGGTCAATGTCTCGATCACTCTCTGTATCCTCGGCCTCATAAACACAGGTAAGGTGGAGAGAGTGGAATAAACAGCCTGCAGATGATTGCCTGCCTTACCATTGTGGGTAAAGAAGGCGTTGAACTCCTTGACTCATGTGCAATGCACTAAAAGCCAGTGAGAACACCAGTCTCCACTTAATGAAGCACTTCTGTCACTAGGAGAGCCTCTGACTATCCTTTGACACTTCTTTTTATTCTGACCACCAACGGTGCCGAGTGACACCAGACTCATCACTTAACCCTATTCTGAACCCTTCACATCCTCAGGAACACTCAATGGCCATTACTTTCCTCTTTGAGGCTTATCAAGTACAAGTTTGTTACTCTTAATACCATCACCAGTAATAAGAACTATTGATCTCATGAACCTTCTTTTTTTTCATAAGTAATCTCCATATCCAATATGGGGTTCAAATGTACAACCCCAAGATCAAGAGTTGCGTGCTCTGGGGCACCTGGGTGGCTCAGTTGTTATACGTCTGCCTTCGGCTCAGGTCACGACCCCAGGGTCCTGGGATCGAGCCCGCATCGGGCTCCCTGCTCGGCGGAAAGCCTGCTTCTCCCTCTCCCACTCCCCCTGCTTGTGTTCCCTCTCTAGCTGTCTCTCTCTCTGTCAAATAAATAAATAAAATCTTTAAAAAAAAAAAAAAAAGGGTTGCACGCTCTATTGACTGAGCCAGTCAGGTGCCCCTCATAAACTCTTTGATATGATGCACTGAGGACACAACATCATTTTTGTGATATTCTTGCCAAAAATGCAAGACCTCACTCCAACCATCAGAAAAAAAATGGACGGGGGCACCTGGCTGGCTCAGTCAGTAGAGCATGAAGACTCTTGATCTTGGGGTTGTAAGTTTGAGTCCCACATTGGGTGCAGACATTACTTAAAAATAAAATCTTTTTTTTTTTTTTAAAAAGAGAGAAAAATGGACAAACCCAAACTGACATTCTACAAAACAGTTGATCAATACTCTTCAAAAGTGTTAAGGCCATGAGGGACAAGGAAAGAACGAAGAACTGTCACAGATTGGAGAGAAAATAAGAAGAAATGACTGCTAAGTATAATCCTGGCTAAGATCCTGGAACATAAAAAGGATGTTAGTGAAAAAAATAAGGTCTGTGTTTTAGTTAGTAAAATTGCCCTAATTATAGTGTACCTTGACAATTGTACAGTGGTTATATGTGATGTTATAATTAGGGGAAGCAGGGTGAAGGCTATAAGGGAATATTCTGCACAAGTTTTACGACTTTTCTGTAAGTCCAAATGCAAGTTTATCTAGAATAGGTACAAGAAGAAAACTTTATTGAGAGAGTAATTGAGTAAATTGAGTAGTAGTTACAGAACAAGAGAGAAAGAAAGACAGAAAGAGAAAAAGAAGCTGTGCCAGAAGGACGTGGAAATTTGGAAGAGATAAAGTAACTTCCCTTCCAAAATCAAAGTGGTTCGTGTTGACAGCAAAGGCCTGGATTCTTGTCCATTTCTTCCTTTACAAATTAGTAAATTGTTATCATACAGCATTTGGCTTTGCCCACTGACACTTTCCATTAGCTACTGGGTCTTGATATAACTTCTATCCTCATTCTGCTCCCCCATATGACTCCCTCACCCCCACCAAAATACTCAAGAGAGAAGCATGATTTAAATCTCTCAATCACCTCTAACTGCCTCCCCCCAGCCCCAAATCTTCATCCAGGAAGACAGGGCCCACATGAACTCTAAGCCTCTCTTTGCACAGCAAGCCCTAAATGTACCCAGTCTTCTGAGAGAGCCCATGGGCCTTGTAGAGCAAGCACTGGAAAACAGCCCCTAACAGCTAAGCTGTTACTGTCTGCAGACTTTCCACCTTGTAGACTCTACTGGTCTTGGATAACCCCACTCTTTTTCTCTTATGATTCTACAGACACAGCCATTAAGGCCGTTTCTGGGATACTCAACATCGATGCATCTCCGAAGGAAGAATGTGCCCTGGAGATCATCAAAGGGGGAGCTCTGCGTCAAGAGGAAGTGTACTATGACAACTCAGTCTGGACAGATCTCCTGCTGGGAAATCCAGGGAGGAAGATCCTGGAATTCTTGTCCTTAAGAAGTTATAGTTTGGACAAATTTATAAACAACTAAGCACTTCCTTAAGGTGGGGCATGGTAAGGGAGCTTTGGGACTGTTCTTCCTGATATTTATCTGAGCTCCATCCCTGAAGGCATCTCCAAGGAGAGACAAATGGGTGTCCCCAGAGAGTTTTAAGTCACACATCACATCTCACAATTTGAAGGAGTTCCTCTAACACTTGCACAGTGGAAACGTAATTATAATGAATGTCATGAACCACTGCAACCTGCAGTTGTGAAATTGATAGTAACCATAGGTATAATTAAAAGGTAGTTCTATCAAATTTACCTCATATATAATATTATGAGTAATACAATATTAATTATAATAAAGGTCATATCAATGTTGTAAATTCATGGTTAGTAGCTCTAAGTTCAGTTCATTCAGTATGGTCCTTTAAAACCATAACCTATATGAGTGAAAATTTTCAGTGTTCATTTCGTATTTTGTGGTCTGAACCTTTTCTCTCTTCTTGAGTTGAAGAAATCACCCTACTCTTCATTTAATGGTCATCATGTCCATACCATATTGTATATTTCAGATACTCTTTATATTATTTTATATTGCTCCTCTGGGAAGGAGGATACCTGGGTGGGTATAAATCACCATGTACGTGGAAGTCCCTGGGAACTTGAGCCACAGAATGGACACATGTTTATCACCCTCAGACTGCATCAGGTGTCTCCACTTTATGTGTGAACTCTCAACTGTGTGTTAGAAGCCTGGAGAGAAGGGAATGGAGTTCCATCCTGCCACTTACACATTCTGTCATTTATTCATTCAACAAACATTTATCAAACAGTTGCCAGGCATCACCTGACTACAACCAAACAGGAAACAGAAATCAGCTATATTAACAACTCAGCAAAGCCCTGTATTGGTTAGGTCCCCAACAGGTTAGGCTTTAATAAAAAGGGGGTTGTTTACAAAAGTGTGGACAAGGTCATAGGGCAATCACAAGGGGTAAGGAAGTATCTTGGGGCTAGTCCCACCTTAGGGACAAAAAGAACGATTATGAGAATCCAGAGATAGAAACTGTTTGGAGAGCATCACAGAACAGGAACTATGACATTCAGTTATGGGATGCCACCAGCCCAGCTAGGACCATGCAGGAGGGATCTGGGGAAATAAACACCCCAGCCTCACTCTCTTCCCTCCCTCCAACTTCTTGCTAATATTTTATATTAGCTAACCAGAGGGGCAGGGGAGCAGACTGATATAAACCACACACGTCAGCTTCCTCATGGACAGAAGCATAGGAAAGAATGGAGAGTGTTCTGGAGGGACAGATGGGATATATCCAGCATGAACTCAACATCCCCAAATGCAGGGCTTTCATGGTAAGAGATACTAGGACACGAGACATGGGCTTGGACACACAAGGGAAATTTCCTTTTCCCATCACTTAATCTAAGTGACCAGGCAGCAGAACAGACTGGAATCCATTGAGCCTGCCGACCACCCAGACAAGGAGCTAGATCTGAGGGTGACTATGACTGGGCTTTTCTTAGAAAGAGATTCTTCCCAGCCTGCTCAGTGCAAGGGAGCGGGAAAGATCTGACTGCACCTGTGTGCAAGAAAATAGATCCGAGATGTGAAGTCAGATTTCTGACCATACAGCACAACACACAGGCACACCAGTGCAAAATCAGAGAAGATCACTAAGTGTCTGGGTGCAGGTGATAAACTGTTGTGCTAGTCTGTGTGCATGCATCACAAATGGGGCAAGAAGCCAGGTTTGCAACAGGATGAGGGCATGAGGCTGACCAGGAGGAAAGGAGGTAAATGCTAAGAGAGGAGCATGATCAGATGACAAATTTACAGTCAGAGTCAGCTTCAAATTAGTTTTGCCTTCAACCTGAACTTTTAGGGTTTTCTTTAGGCTTAAAGACACATTAAGACTTCAGCCTATGTTTAGTATAAATCAGCTGCTCCCTGATTCTGTTCACTTCCAGGGGAAAGCAAGAGAGGGTATGTAACAATTTTTATGTAACTAATAAACTAAACCTTTGGTCTTTCCAAGGGTGTGTTGGTAAATGTTTAACAACTGGCTCTCCGGAAAAAAGAGAGAGAGAGAAAAAGAAACATGCCCCCATTTGTAAATGTAAATTTAGTATTACATGGTGTAAATACTCTCACCCTGGTTGATTTCAGGCCACCGGGTCACATTGCTGAATGTGTAATAGAAGAGAAATGCACCATCAGCTCTCTCAAACCTGTATAGCCTGCTCCAGCACACCGCCCTGACTTTCCCATTCCACATTCTTGACAGAATTAGTTATTCTTAAAGGCCCAGCTCAATGCCTCTCCCCTCCTCCAAGGACTTGAAAGTAAGAGCTTCTTTCTACTGGGGAGGTTGGGGGAACAAGGGCTCCCAAAGACAGGGTGCTCACATTCTTGGACTCTCAGGGCATCAGTATTTTGCATGAAGTCAACAGCCTTAACTGTGTGCGAGTCCCGAAATTGACCTTCATGTTCACTAGTACTGTATTCCCCTGGGAGTAACAGAAAAATCCACTGACGGTGGCTCAATCAAGTAGAAATTACTTTTCCTCCCCTAACAAAAAGTCTAGGAGGGGCAGACCGGGGCCTCAGGAAGCCAGGCTCCTTCTGTTTTTCCACTCAACTACCCATCCTCCTCCATGTCACTGTGGAGTCACAAGATAGTGGCTCTAACTCAGCATCGTCCTGCGTTTCAGGGAAGGCAAAGGGGAAGGTGAAGGGCAAAGGATGCACACCAGCTGAATCTGCCCCCTGATAAAGAGCAAACTGGGAAGCCCCATCCAAGGACTTCAGCTCACATCCTGAGGGCTAGAGTCATGTTGTGTGACCACCCCTCCCTTCAAGAGAGGTTGAGAAATGGAGATTTCAGCTGAGCCCATGCTAACCCCAGGCGACCAGAAGTGTTTGTCACAAATGTAAATCACGACAGAAACAAAGAAATACACAGTCAGAGCAGAAGGACTCCGTTCCTAAGATGCCAGCTTCCTGACCAAGGTGACAGAATCCAGTCCCACTGACCATCTGCAAGGTCTAATTTAGTCCCAGCTCCCGCCCATGCTGAAGAACATCCAAGGCTCCCGCCTCTCCAAACTTCCCTCTGAGAAATTATGATTCCCTCTCCTCAGTTAAGAGTGTAATGGGAGACCCTAGATAAGAGGTAGCAGGAAGCCCCGAGGTGTCCTCAGCAGCAGTGACTCCCCCCACCTGCTGTTCCTGGAGAGGCCCCTCTCAGGGACAGTTAATTCTCACCTCGCCACCACATCTGTTCACACAGGTTGGGCCCTTCTCCTTGGCTGGACTGTGCTAGGACAGTGTCGCAAACCCACCCCCAGAGTCCATGGCAAGCTTCAAAGATTCTCTAGAGTAGTGGCTGCCAAAACTTTGGATCACATACTTCATTATTAAAAAAAATGATTAGGCGTATAGATTTCTAACAGATATACAGTTACTATTTATATAATATATGCACGTAATACTTACTAACATAAAGCATAGACAAAAACAGAAGATAAGATAAATAGAAATTGCAACATCTTCTGCCCACATCCAGTGGTTCCTCTGACATGCCGCCAAGCACCAAGCACAGCTCTGAAGCTGTGTCAGAGGAAGAAGTCAGCACGTGTGATGCTTCCAGCCAGCCCTTGGTGAGAGCGTCAGCAGGCACCCAGGGGTTCAGGGTGAGCCCCCATTGCCCTCTCTAGGGGCGCCACATGTAGGATAACGTTCTCCCCCCTCCCCCGCCCCGCATTGCCTCTGTCCAAGGAATTTGCCAAGGACCCACAGTCTTCTCCATTAGTGCCTAGTCTCCAGCACTAGGGAACATATGCTAATCAAGTCCCAGACGCATCCCTTAATTTCTCCAGGGAAGTATGTAAACCAAACTAATTTGCAGTATTAAGGGAACAGAAAAAACACATTGCCCGCCTTGATACAGGGCTCATACTGTCTCACGATGTCTCCAGCAACTCTGCTTCGCTGTCAGCATCTCAGCACTCTTAGATCTCCATCCCACGCCAGAGGGTCACCAGGTCATGGAGAATGTTCAGGAAAATCAGGATATCCCGTACATGCTAGATCCTCCCCCCTCAGCAATTCTCAACCTAACTTCTCTTAGTTGTTAGATTTAGAAGTTTTCTAGTTAGAATGTGTCTAAATTCTCTAGTTTTTAAGGAGAGGGAGGGGGAACAGGGATGGGAACTGAGCCAATGTGAAAAGAAAAGGCAGATGAGAAAAGAGAATTTTCAAAAAAGGTCCAACAGGACTGAGGATGCCAATGCCCACAGGCATAAAAGCCAGGAGAAGCAGAATTAAGTCTGCAGAGATCAAGAACACATGGGGTAAGGACAGGAACCTAGAGCAAAAGGTAAAGCCACAGGAGGGGGGGTGGGGGCTGGGAAATGAATTCTTTAAAAAATAGGAAAGCGCCAGATAAACAACCAGCTTGAGTTGCGGAGGCTTTGGAGATTGGAGTTTCTGGGAGGAGGATAAAGAAACAGCAGCCAAAGGGGAGGGCACACTGGCATGTCGCATGACCCGGAACCAGAGGGTTTCAAAAGACCCACACGGGTGAGAGCTGAGGTCAGTGGTGTCAGGGTCTCTCTCTGTGCTGTGATTGGCTGCCCTGGGACTGTTGGGTTGGCGTGCTTCGGGACCTCACACTGTCCTCGAACAGTCCTGTGGCACCCTGAACTCCGGGTAACGGAGGGCACAAAAAGCTACCCCACCCCAAGACCAGAGAGCCAGGCCATCCTAACCAAAGACTGCTTTTCACAAGCCTCCGTTTTTGCCGTCGAGGGGGGCAGCGCCACCCAGTGGCTGACTGTTGGTGGTGTACGGCACTTCACAATTTCTTCCCACCGGCCCCGGTCGCGCCCACATCCTGCGAGAGCTACCACCAGCTCGGCACTGAGCGCCTTCTCATGAGTCACCAATTAGGGCGGATGAACAGACCTTACTGGAGGCGGGGCGGGACTCAGGCATCTGGTGGGGCCGCCTGGTCCTAGCAGGCAGGCTAGGCCCTAAACCATTGGTTTTTAGCTAGATCTGCTCAATAGCGACAGCTAGTGGTCACCCTTAAAAGCAAGGTGTTGTGAGCCTCCCAGAGAAAGAACTGTCAAGGTGAAATGGGGAAATCAAGGCAGATTCTTGTCTGCCACTGGAGGCTAGCATATATCCAAAGCCATCCCTGAGGAAATAGTACAAAGAAAACCCAAATTTTTTAAAATGATGTCCAAGGACCTTGGCTACCTCCATAGCCACATCTCAGGCCACCAGTCCTGCTTTTGATTCCCCAAGGACAAGGAACTGCTGGTCCTCTGAAGGCACCCTTCTGTTCCCATTGGGCCTTTGCCCA